TCTTCTTCTTCTTCTTCTTCTTCTTCTTCTTCTTCTTCTTCTTCTTCTTCTTCTTCGAGTTTCAATCTGAAATTCAGCCAAAATCAAGTCTAATCTTCACTAAAACACCCTCAAAATTGAGATATAAACTCCAAACAATATTCCCAATTATTTGCAACAACACTCAATCCAAACAAATAATGGTTTTTGAAAATCCAAATTCGAATTCAAAGTTTCAAAGCTTTTTAATGGCTGTCAATGGTGGAATTGCTGCTCTCTTTTCCTTTGCGTTACATTACTGAAATTAGGGATTGAGAGATAGAGAGAGACGTAGAGAGAATTTCCAATTCTTTGCAACAATACTCAATTCAAACAAATAATGTTTTTTGAAAACCCAAATTCGAATTCAAAGCTTCAAAGATTTTTAATGGTTCTCAATGGTGGAATCGTGGGTGAGTGCAAGATACGTGGGAAGGGGGGGAGAGTGGGATGTGGAGAGAGAAACGTCGGGGGAGTGGAAGATACGTTAGAGTTATTTTAGGACACTAATTATTACTCCCTCCGGTTCACAATAAGTGTCCAATTTACTTTTTCCTTTTGGTTCAAAATAAGTGTCCGGTTATGTAATCAAGAAAGAATTCAATTTGTTTTTACAAAATAACCCCTATGTACATATCCCTAAAAAGTTTTCTTACTCCTCACATTAAATGTTTAATTAGGGGTAGTTTAGTCATAGTAGGTATTTTTGTATAGAATTTAGTATTTTCTTAATAGGCGTGCTAAAAGTAAATCGGACACTTATTGTGAACCGGAGAGAGTATCATTAATTCCCTTAAAATGTACATAAATGGTAATTGGGTATATAAAATGTAATTATGGTAAAACTTGAGTAGGGAGGGTAATATAGTTTCATATAGTGTATACTAACGTAAAAATTTTAATGGATTAACTATATTGTCAATTGAGAAAGAATTATTAGAAAAAAATTGATTGTAAAAAAATTATTAATAACTTTGTATATAAAAAAACTAGAAATGGACTTCAAACTAAAGAGAAATAATTAAAAAAAATTAAGGCCCCTCGTAAAATTTGGGTTTAGGCCACAAAATTCGTTGGGTTGCCCCTGTGTTTTACCAACCCAAAAAAAGAATCTTCCGGACCTTCTTTCTTGAGATTTTTATATTCCTATATACTATATGAAACTATATTACCCTCCCTACTCAAGTTTTACTATAATTACATTTTATATACCCAATTACCATTTATGTACAT